TATTTAAATCCGACAAATATAGATTCATGGGCCAGCGCGTTAGCTCAGAGACACCGAGACGATTTAATGTTTTGTGTTTTGTTTTAATATCATGGCTACTTAAGAGCCACCGAAGTGGTTTTTGAAACAAAATATAGTCGAACCAGTCTGACAAGCATAGTTTATTGCGAAAATGATTTTTGCAAGTGATAAAAACATTAAAATGTTTTCGCATACGTGGCGGAATCTGAAATGGCAGAATGCATTTCATGGCGCCCATTTGATTTGGATCGCGTCGGGCATGTGTACCGACGCACAGTAGAACGCGCGCCGAAGTAGCTGTGGTGCACCCGCAGCCTCGCGCTTGTTGTTCTCACATCTCTGGCTCGCTCACTGCGGGCATCCAGGCATATGACACCCTGACATCTGGTGCTTTTTCTGTCTTTCCCGTGGCGTTCCAAGCGGCACACGACGGAAAATGCACATCAAGCTCTTTTTGAACACGTGTCGCCATCTGTGTTTTATAATAAGAAACTACAATTTGCCGTAACTGAAGGGGAAATGTTTCAGGTCTTATAACATTATTAACGTGTAATATATCTATATGAAAGTTCTGGAAATTGTAATATCGAAGGATGCTTCATAATTTAATGGCTCGTTATTTCGATTAGTTGACGTGATTCCGTTTTTACAGAGCCATACAAAAGTATAATTTTAAACTTTATTTTTTATTTTGAAATATACATTATTTGTACAGTTCGTTGCTTACTTTTTTACTTTATTACATCCAACCGAACGCTCACGTAAAATATCGTGGACAATGGGACGTTATAACTAGAGAAATAATTTTTTCAATATTAGAGACTGTGGTCTATTAAAAACTAAATAATTAACTAACCACTAAAAATAATCGTAATATCTAGACATTAAAGTATTGTTGAAAAACAGCTCTTTAATTTGACATTAACTTTATAAATGTAAGATGCATAGAAAGAAAGTCATAAGCCGTCGAAAAAGCATGAAAACGTCATGCACGGTGGGGTTGCACCTTAAGTGTGTTTTAACCTAAAGTAAACTGCAGGGGCAAGATTTTAATCCCCGGAAAAGTACAGAAGGTTACACGTGTCAACGGCCACTTCAACGCCGTGCAAGGGTCCGTTTAGCGCAGCAGAGACTATTGCGAACAACCAAAGAACGTCTTTCTTTCTGGTGAATATCAGCGAACCTTTTTCCTCATGCAGCTGAAGTAATATTCTGCGAGTGTGAGTGTCTCTGAACTGTTGTCAACAACACCTCGAGGTTATTTCATAACCAAAATTGTATATTGCGCCGTTTATCACATATTCATCACAAAATCAAAACAATTGTAATTTTACTTTTCAAAAATATGCTCGTAAATTAACGAGACCGATTATTCGTTTAATTAGTCGATTAAAGTGTGGTGATTTATCAAATTAAAATATATATTCGACGGTGCTGTTCACTTTTAATAACCATATACTTTTTGTGTGTATTTTCCGAAGCCTTAACAAAAATGCATCTGTATTTTTTTTTTCTGTTTGTTTTTTGCAAGGGGTATCTCGACGCAGCATAACTCGGCAGACCGCAAGGCCTATGACTTCAGCGAGCCGATCGAGGAAAGCACGTGACAACAAAGCCAATAACATGCACTCCTCCTGCGGAGAGATGTCGAGCGATCCGCTTTGACCGTCTGTTTAGCTCGCAGGAGCCGTTAGAGGCATACTCAACCGAAATTTTGAGCTCACAAAACAAGGCTGGACGGATAGGCACGACGCTGCAAAACTCAAAACATCACTCATAATGCGATATATCTAACCATAGCCTGGCTGTGCTCTAACGAATCGCCGTACATTTTCGGAAAAGAAGTGCGCCAAGTGAACACGGCCGACGAGACAAGTCTTGTCACGATACTCATTCCCTCTACTCCTCGCTACGTCCCGTCGAGCTGGTGAACCGAAGCGAGGAAGAGAGAAGCCGGGGCCACTTTTCCTCATTCTCAAATTTTCCAGGGGGACAATGACGTCAAAGACCTCGCTTGATCCCGCCCTTTTCCGAAAGTACGGTCGTTCGTTTGAGATATGGATGTACGAGTGATGTTTTGGAGGTAGTAGTGCCCCGTTCAACGTTTCGGAATACCTTATCCGAAATCGAAACGCCCCTCGGTGGCGAGCTGCCGGGAAATTTATGCCATCCGGGTGCCAGATTGGGCAATCGGGCTAATTCGGAGGCTCTAAAATTATGTGCTCGAGGCGTCTACTAGGCGCTCATGCAAAGATGTTTCGAGAGTAACATGCCGAGAGATTGAGGACAAATATGAAGCTAGCGACAAGACACGCTGTGTCCTGTTGCAACTATGGAGTAACGCAATCCAGAGTATCGCCTTCCTTTTCATTTCGCCGCCAACTCCACATTGGCAGAGAAGGGTAGCATGCCCCAAATTTGACTTCCGCGCTTACGGGGGTACACCGTCTTGGGGAGCGCCGCGTTTGGGGGCGGTTTCACTTTCCGCTCGCGATATGTGGATCTTGCACCGCAGTATGACGAGCAGGAAGCTTTTTAGACCTTCGGGCATTGTGTCTGCCGCGTAGATGCGTGTAACTGCGTTATTTAGATGACGCGAGCGCAGTTTGCAAAACGGTCCTGAGCGTGGTGGTGCACAAGCAGACGACACAATACCGAGGTTGACCGACCGCGCGCGCGCATTTGAGGGACATGGGAGAGTTATGACGGCACATGCGCGAGGGATCTGTGCCGCCGCGTCTCCTGCGAGTGCGACGTTCGCTTCTCCCGCAATACTTGAAGTAAAATATTTGAGACCGTTGTAATACTCTGCCCTCTTTGTCCTCCTTTTTGTATGTACGTGTGTGTATTACATTTACAGTGTCTCCAAATCAACTATCTCAATTAGCCGTCTTAAAAACCCTAAAATATATATATATATTTGAATTCTGGGTGGGACACGCGTCTTAAGAAATTAAATTTCCGCGGAATAAAAAACTTTTAGAGCAATATCGACGGCGCGAGGTTTATTTTAAACTCTGCGCGGCGAAGTCCATGACGTCACGGAATAATCATACACCCTTTCCACATTAACGAGACGGTCATACACTCTCTCCACCTCTACGTGAAGGCGAAGTCGATCCACCTCTCCTCCACGCGCCCGACGTGGCGAGAGAGAAAACAAGTGGAAAGGAGGTGACTACCGACTCCGAAATGCAGTGCCATCTGGTGGCTGAAAAGGCGGTTTAACTTTTCCCGCACCATCTTATGCAATCTTTTGCGCAGCAAGAACGAGGACAAAGGGGGAGAACAGGACACAACAAGGCGCAACTTTCAACTGAGTATTTGCAGTATGTTATCGGGCACTGTCACTTTTGCGAGTCAACGGTAAACGAGAATTTGCTCTTCACTGTACAGTTCTTTCGCGATCATCTCTTTCAGTGTCGATGGCCACAAAGATGCAACCAGTCAGAACGAAGCGCCAACCCAGATAGACGCCTTAACCCTTTACTGCACCTTGTTGCATATTCGCAACATAGCGATAAACGACGATAAAAACATCTACAAAATGCATTCAGTGCTAGTTCCGCACGTTGTTGCATTTCTGCAACATACATCCGCGAGGCGAGCCGTCCAGTGCTGCCATCTGTACTCAGGCGGCGAAACTGCTCTCTAAAAAGCGTGACAGCCACCACGTGGACGCTCAACAAGTGACACAGGTAAGCCTTGACTACTGCATATCACGTTCTATACAGTGTAATGCAAAACAAAAAATTTGCGACTCAACTTAATGTCCTGCTGATTATGTAAATACTAAAAACCTTAAGATTATCGACGAAGTTTGTCTTTGGAAGCAAAAAATAGCTATGTTGCACAGATGCAACAACGTGCACGACGGTGTTTTTTCTTCGTAGAGCAGACACAATGGACCCCAAACGGTTTTACAGCCGTGGAATTCCTTCCGACAGTGAGGACAGCGAGCTCTCCGGCAGTGACGATGACTCTGATTGTAAGTTAATGTTTTTTCTGGAAATCCAACTTTTTTTCACGTAGAGAATAAAATTAGAAGCAGTGTAGGCTTTATTGACAGAGATTTTCGGAAGAGACCATCCTTCGTCAGGTGTAACTACACACAATTGCAAAGTTGTAGGGTTGTTTTCACGCTTTCAAAGAGCACACTTAGAACCGCCAGGGAAGATAGTCCCCTATACAATGTAGAATTTCTCTCCAAATTATTTATTTTACTGCTCATTGTATGAGTTGTACGAGACGCTGTTATTTTTTGTACCCCAGATGTCCAACCCCCTGGAAAATGTAGTGCCAGTTCAAGCGAGGCGAGTACAAGCTATGACGAAGAGGAAGCTCCCGCAAGCCAACCAGCTGATCAGTCATCAACTCAATCTAAGAGAAGAATTATCTGGAAGAATGCAAGCCTGATGCGGGATCCTGAAACAGTGAAGTTCACTGGACAAAATGAGCTTCCGCAGGAAGTTTCAGAGTTGGAAACACCTTTCCAATACTTCAAGTTCATCTTTCCAGGCGCTCTTATTTCGCTTATTGCAAATGAGAGCAATTTGTACTCAGTCCAGAAGGATGCCAGTAAGCCCCTCTGCACCAGTGCCGAGGAGATTGAAGTTTTTCTAGGCACCTGCATGTGGATGTCTATAATTCAGCTGAAGAACACTAGGTGGTACTGGAGTGAAGCTACCAGAGTAAGCCAAGTAGCTGACCACCTCACGGTGACACGCTTGGAACAGTTGAAGCACAACCTTCACTTTGTGGACAACAGCTCTCTCGGCCCAAGAGATGATCCTGATAGAGACCGGCTTGCAAAGATACGACCGCTCGTCGATGCTGTAAATGAACAGTTGTCGCTGATACCGCTTGAAGAGCACTTGTCTGTGGATGAACAGATTATACCTTTGAAAGGCGCAAGTGCACTGAAACAGTACTGTTCCCAGAAACCAAAAAAATGAGGGTACAAAGTATTTGTTCTCTCAGGAGTAAGTGGCTTCTCGTACAAGCTAGAACTGTACACGGGACAAGAAAACTCTGCCCCAAGACGTGCAGGAGAGCCTGACTGTGGAGCAAGCGGGAACATTGTTGTTCGATTGTGCAGGTTAATCCCAAGAGGAGTCCACCACAAAGTGTATTTCGATAACTACTTCAACTGTCCAACCCTTCAGGTGTACCTGGAAAAAGAAACCGTGCACTGCATTGGTACAGTCCGGATCAACCGAGTAACGGGTATCAGCATGCCATCTGACAAGGAAATGAAACAGAAAGGAAGGGGAAGCTTTGAAGAGAAGGTAGCGACCCTGGATGGCATTCAGCTGTCGTGTACAAGGTGGCAAGACAACAGAGCCGTCACCTTGCTGTCCACCTTTGTTGGGGCAGAGCCTGTCCTAACTGCGCCAAGGTGGAGCCAAAAAGAAAAGGAGAGGCGCGACATACCGTGTCCGTCGGTGATAGGCGCTTATAACAAGCACATGGGAGGAGTGGATCTCTTAGACTCTCTGATCTCCCTCTACCGCGCCCATCTCCGATCGAAGAAATGGTACTTTCGTATTTTTCTTCATATTCTCGACTTGACGGCTGTAAATGCCTGGCTGCTGTACAGGAGGAATGCCGAGACTACTTCCGATCAACCAACACGAAAGCTCATGCCATTAGCAGAGTTCAAGGTGGACCTCGCCACGTCACTCTGCAAAGCAGGAAAAAATCAACTGAAGAAAAGGGGAAGGCCCAGCAATGAGTCCGTGGAGCAAGGCATCCAGCTGAAGAAGACAAGAGGTCCTTCAGCACCGTGTCCACCTCAAGATGTCAGGATTGATCAGGTATTATCACTGGCGAATTAATCTGTGTTACAAACCTCACTGTTCATACTTCTATGCTCAGGTTGGCCACTGGGCGCTTTGGAGTCAGAAGCGACAGCGTTGCAAGTTTCCTGGATGCAAGGGCATTTGTATGAGCTACTGCTCTAAGTGTGGCACTCACCTGTGCTCAACAAGCAAGAATAACTGCTTTCTTTTGTATCACACAAGCAAATGAGGCCACATCTCTCACTGATGTCTGTAAATACAAGTTTGGCTCTGGTTCACAAATTTTTAGCATTCGGCTATAAATATTTCGTTATTTCCATCTTGTTGCAAATATGCAACATACCTATCTTTTTTCGATATAAATTTTTTCGAAACTTTGAAATTTATTTTAGTGATAGTATTGTGATAACTGTGGTATTCTACTTCTGCTGGAATAAAATTGTGAAAAAATAAAAAGTTGTGCAGTAAAGGGTTAATATATCAAGGGGCTTTGAAGTCGATTCTGTGCTACTAACATATTGACTGGCCCCCAGTTATAAAAATGAACGCTTACGCAGCTCTTGCATTCGATTCCTGCTTCGCAACGTGTTAACGTCTGGAACGTAAGGTATCAAATACGCAGCTTACGTGTATCTTCAACATGTTCCTTCATCAGTAAACAGAAGGCCACCACTAGTACGTCACAGATGCCATTTTTCAAACGATGATAGCGATTAAAGTGGCCAGACTGAATTTCGGAAAGGGTCTATATTTCTCTTTTTTTTTCGGATAAAATTAGTTTTTTTTTTTTTTTGCCACACATGTCCCACCAAATTGTTTAAAAAACACTTTTTTTTTTTTACGGCGCTTTTTATTCAGTGAGAAATGCGTCGTAAACTCACCACACTCCCAAAAGAGTCGCGACTAGGTGTTCGCGTAGCGCCGCTCTGAATCGAAACCCCGCTCCGTAGTGTCGGCTAACTGATGCCCAGAATGCAACGCGCGCAGTGCCGCATGCCTGGGTGATACGGAGGTGGTCCCTCACCCGAGGAAGGGCAGCTCCCGGGCCTCCCAGTCGTACGCGATGTCGCTGTTGTTGAGCGCGATGTGGACGCCCAGGCGCATGTTCACGTCGTCGCAGCGGAGCAGCACGGGTCCCTTCAGGTGGGCCGTGCTGGCGCCCCAGAGCCTGCCGCGCCGCAGGGTGACCCTCCCGTCGCGCCACGTGGGGCCGTCGCCCAGGACCAGGGGCTCCGCGGAGCCCAGCAGGGGCCGGGACTCGTCCAGCAGCGTCCGGGCGAGGGCGTTGGCGAACTGCTCGCTGCCGCACAGCAGGTCCAGTGTCCGCTTCCGCCGGAAGTGGACTCCGTCTGAGGCGGGGCACGAAGGTCACGTGATGCAGGGTGGATCATTCGGCAGACGGAGACTCGGAGATAATTTTGAAGGCTGGAGAGGAGGTGACCTCCTCTCCAGCGCTTCCTCTGCTAAATCGGAAAGAGGTGGGGCTCATTCATACTGCCCCATTTTCTTACGTTAAGTTACGTTACGTATAAGTCACCGAAACATTCGTGTCTCGAAAGTCGCGTGTCATGCTTTTTCCTTGAACTGGTAGCCTCGCTTAATATGAAGCCCATATGTCCCGGTGACTTCAACGTAATATTTCATAACGTAACTTAACGTAAGAAAATAGGACAGTGTGAATGAGCCTTTAATCTCTCACCGACTGCGCACCAACTCAGGTTTCCAAACAAAACGGAGCGCCGCCACCACCGCCTCCGCGCATGCGCGATAGGGTGTGGGCAAGAAGCGCCGTGTCCCGTATCAACGAACCATTGGAACGTGATGTTGTAGGCGTCGGTGTGAGTCCCCATGCCCTTTTTTTGCGTTGAAATTGTTAATTCTACGTCTTCCTAGCAATGTCTTACTACTTTAGTGGCCTGCGCGAAATTAACGAGGCTTTTTACACATCACAAAGCCTCGTGTAAACAATGTGACGCGCGGCGATTCATGCAGCGTGAAAGCCACAGAATGGACGCTAAAGCCTGATTCACGTGATGAGATTCTGCTCGCTATTTTTCAGTTCTGATGTCGCTCGGGCTAAAAAGGCGTGAACGGTAGCTGCGACGTTCGACGTCGACACTGAAAATTGCAAGTAGGATCTGACCAAGTGAATCGGGCACAACAAGTCGGTGATGGCCACTGGTAACAATGATCAAAATCTTCCTCCATCTACTGCTTATACCTAACCTACTTATTCAACCCAAACAACCTGCAAATTTTAAAACATCTTTTGAGGCCCCGACTTACTTCTTATTGCAATTACCGAGTCAACTTCTGGTCTACGGGCTGCTGTTGTTTGAACGAACAGACGATAGCTTGAACAAGCAGAGAAATTTCAAAGAGCAGATGACAATTTTAATTAACGATCACACGGCCGTTTGAACGTGAAGACGCACTGAACGTGGTACGCGGGTGTTCCGCAGAACTTGACGGTTTTCCCGAGTTCATGTTGGAACAAAGCAAGTAAATCTGGCGATCTCAAGTATCCGTGAACTCGATTCAAAAACACAAGCAATTGAGGTCAACGGTGTCTGCCTTTCCCTTTTCACGGCACCACCACGTTCTCGGACATACTGAGCAGGCAGAAAACACATGAAAACTTATCTTCACACCTTCCAGGCTCATTTGGTAGAGCCCCAGTCACGGCGTTTTGACGAAAATGCATGTTTTAGCTTCTATTCTACCAAAACAACACAGGAATGCCCATCCCGCATAGCGACTTTCGCCGACACTCCCAGATCGGAAGTGGGTAACGTCACATAGCGTATAACATGCAAGTCGAGCGGGCAGTCTAAAAACAAAGTATTTTGCCGCGTTTCTTTGCGTTCTTCTGGATTGCACAGAATAAAACTTCTTGTAAACGTCAAGAACAAGCTCTACTGTTGCATGACTCTCAAGAACAAGGTCTATTGAAAATTGTCGTATGGCTCTTGAAGTATTAGGGACTTTCAGCAAACCGTTACCGTGTTCCGCGTACCGCACTATACCGGAGTCTTTGAAGAACGTTTGTGAGCGCGCGCGCACCGCGGTCACAGTACCACTCGGGCAAGCGTTAAAAAGCATGCTTTGAAGGCTCTGGTAGCGCGGTGCGCAGAACACAGTAGCGGTTTGCTAAAATTCCTATTAGGAAGTTTCAGTATATCGTGTTGTCAGGCCATGCTATTTTGCGTGAGCTCGCTCTGCCACTTCGATGCATGCTCTGAAGCGCGCGCCCGAAGCGGTATGGGGGCCTTTAAAAACGATGCACTAAAACTCCCTATAAGGAGTATTCACTGGGCGCCATATTTGTGGGTGCTGTTTAGAGCGCATGCTCAGAACGAGCCGACATTAATAGGCTGCTAAGACCGGCTATCATGAGAGTGCGGAATGCACGTTACAAAAGAATTGTGGAAGCTCGCCATCAGCACGCGCTCAGCAGTCGCGCACACAGCTATGGCCGCCAGTGAATACTTCCTATAATTAGGTACCGATGTTTTTTGTTGTTGTTCGTATAGTTGGTGGCAGACGGTTAAGAATAGACCGATCTCACCAGCCAGTTTGACTCCGCCACCGTTGCCGCAATGCATGGTGGGAACTTTAGTCTTCCTGCACGTGCGACAACCCTGCCGGAGCTCTGCGCGAGTGGAGCACGAGACGGCACGAGCCCTCTCGTGTACTGCGGTTTGCCTCATGTGAACTAAAGTCATGGCGGCGTCACGCATGCGCCGAACGCTTTGTGAGATCGGTCTATTAAGTAAACGCTCCGACGCCCACTCAAGCTCGTTGTCTTCAGCCGTACTTCGTCGATGTGTTATGGCGTCTGACGCGTGCCGAGGAGCGCCTCCGTACGGCAACGCTACGCTAGTACTGCATAATAAAGGCACAAAGGTCACGATGGAGGCGGAGTATCCACTGGGTTGCCAATTCGTCACCGAGGACGTAATTGTACACTACAAATCAAATTTCGTCGAAGAAAAAAAAAAAGCTTAAAGGACGTATCCGAATGGAAACAACACCTGATTCCAGGAAGAGGGCGGCGTTCACACTGGCCGACGCGACCACTAGGAGTACGAGGAACAGCATGGCGCCTCGACGTTCTGCAGCAGTCCGGGATCCTGCGAACGCACACCACACCTTTTTAGTAGCTCGTCTATAGGGCGATCGAGATAAAAACAAGAGAGGAACACAAACTCAAGAAGGACGGCAAATAAATACGTCTGTTCGTCCTTCTACTCTCTGACATTCGGAGAGCCACGCATTAACCGTGCGTGAATGATTGAGTTGCTGACGCAGAGAAACGACGAGTGCCGGAACTACATATGCACTTTTGGGCTTGATCGGCTCCGTCGGATGGTTAAGAGCACCACGTTTTCCTTCGCTCTCGGCAGTGTCACGTCGCAGGATATCTGTCGAACATATATCAGACCTAACTAAACTTGAGACACCAAAAGAAGGCAGAAGAAGGACACGAGAAAGAGGACGACACACACAACGTCTCGTACACAGCTAAAGGTTTATTTTAAAACCACCGGTGTTTTGGGTTTAGTTATGTCTACAATTCCCCAGACTGCCTGCATTTTTGCTATTTTCTCAGAATATATATCTTCAGACTCGAGATTCGCTCCCATCGTAGACTGCAGTGGTAGGCTCCGCGACGACTATACTCGAGTGGGACACTATATATATATATACACGAAGAAATTTGGACTGTCTGCTCCCCAGCATGGAGATCACGTGGGAGAGCCAATCACCGCAGACTACATATATATATATATACTGAGACGGTCAATGACGGCGTTGATAAGTGGTTTAAATCTTCACCAAAAACAAAATGCTGTCTGCGCTGCGGCAATGACCATAACGTTTCACCAGGCTCGGTGCAACAGTGCAGAGCGTTTAGATCCGTCATTGGCCGTCTCCGTATGGTGTACGGCGCTCTGCCTACGTGATTTGTGAGGAGAGCGGACAGTCCGGATTTCTGAAGAGTGTACACGTGATCGTGATTCGGAACACCGGCTGCCAAAGAAAGGCAGGGAGAGAGGGGCCCCACCCCGCAACACTACAGCGTCGGTCTACACTCTGAGAAAGAAGGGTATCGATACTCCTCCCTAAGCGGAGGAACGGTCTTGTAACCTATGTTTCTTTAGAAAGGGAGAAACTTTCGTCCCTGAAGCAGGGGGCAAATAGTTCCTCCGTCGCCTGCATCTCATTATGGCGGCCCTGAATCGAGCAAATCGAGCTCAGTGAGGCTTAACGAGGACGCTACGTCTCTTGTACGGGACGAGAGGAGTAGCAAATAAAAGCGTAACACGAGCTTTCCGCGAGCTTTCCGTACAGAAACTTTCGTTTCGAAAGCAGTTACTCAGTCTTCTCGTCGTCAGCACTGAGATGTTAAACAGAGACAGCCGATACCTAGTTACTTCGTGCCCTTTACGTC